CGAGTCGCGCGTCAATATCTGCACCTGAGAAAAGCCGTCTTGCAAGAGGGTGTACGCGGTGACGAGTCCCGCTGGTCCAGAACCGATGACAGCAACGAACGCGGCGCGAGGGTCTGAGGGCATGGCGTGGTCTGAGGTGTAGGGACTCGGATCGAGAGAGCCCTAAATCGCTTGGAATCATCCAGCGGTTCGATAAGCCGGTACGTACATAGTACGCGAATGACGGATACGATAACCGTGTCGTGCGTCAACTTGAAATATTTGCGCTTGAGAGAAGCCGTAGCCCCGCCAGTCTAAGACCAACGACTGCGGCCCACGCAGCGCGGGGGTCTCAGGTCATGAGCAAGTAACGTCGGCTTTGGGGCTGCTGGGACTGCCACGATCGAGAGGCGCTTAATTAAGCTTCCTTAGTTCGCCGCTTTGGATCCAGAGGTTGGGATAAGCCGGCACGTACATAGTACGCAGAAGGAGAGCAGGAAACGCAGCGTGGGTTACGTCGTCGTGGGATACTACCGCGGCGAAGAACCGAAGGCTCCAAGTCAGAGGTGTACGACGCGAAAAATGGCAGGCCGGGAGTGGGCGGCGTGCGACGCACTGACATTCGTAGATTCGCGCCCGCAGATCCGACAGCTCCACTTCTTGAAGTTCTCCGCAGACAACACGGCTGCACTGGCGTCGATTTTCGACCCCAGGCTGGCTGCGGGACAAGCGCACGCGATGCATTTCCGCCAATGCGTTGAGGAATTCCTTGATCGCGACCCAGGAGCACGGTGGACATCGACTGTTCGCCGGGCCACCAGGACATTAGGAGCAATGAACCGACGAACTTGCCAAGGCCGCCGTCTAGATGTGGAGCGTGAACAACTTGAAGAAAAGGACACCTACACACGCGAAGCGTGCCGCGAAAGAGAAAACCCTCGAGAAATGGACCACAGCCTGGAAGAAGACCCCGCAGAACGTATCCCACCGGCGTGGAAACCAAAAACGCACTTCACAGGGACCGAGAGGGAAGTGTACTATACGGGAGGCTGGTCCAATGCAGGACGGGATACGCATTCATCGGTGAGTGCTACGCTAAATTTTTACCCGCAGAAAGCGTGGAATGTCAGTGCGGGGAGCCATTCCAAACGAGGGAACATATCTTACGAGAATGCGAGAATCGATGAGTTTTAGGAAGTAACCGGCATAATGTGTTACTAACAAGGGGGTCCGAAGATAAGAGATTACCATATGGGGTAGGGGGGGAGGGTGTCTGGCCGACCACCAAAAAAAAAATTTGTATGTAAAATATTTTCGGTCCAGATATCAACTCTTGTACATCCTGGTCCTCTGAGACTCATCTGGGATACCTCTCAGGACTTACCAGAGCAATTGTCTAGCAAAATATGAGTGAACACTGCATAGGTTGTGTGTTCTGCCAATCGCCGGCATATGGCCATCATTGTTATGGCATATTTGGCAATGCCCCCCTCTGCCGAATGAATGCCGAAGCGGCCCTTGAGCCTCTGCCGTGCAATTGCAGTCTCCGAAGAGTGCCGATCTGTGATGATCAATGATTCTACAGTACCTCAAATGATTTCAATTTGCTTGCCGCAACTCATATTCTAGGACCATCCTCCATGCTGTACCAATGTCCACATATTCGATTTTATCTCTGTATGCATTTTTGGCCCACCCCTAATGAAACTTGCAACAGCATGTAAAGTTTGGTTGGATCGTTATGTATTAGTATTACGGCAGACTTCAACTTATTCTAAGTCAAAAATGTTTAGAGCATTGTTCCTTCACATATGATATGATGAACCAGCTGTTTATGAGACTCTGTGAATATTCTGGTGATTAACCACTCTACCACTCTTGTGTAGCACCTCCCGGCGCGGAAATGTGCGCCAATACCGTCTCCCGAAAAGGGAATTTGATGGCATCAGGTGGCTGTGAGGGGGGGGAGGGTGTCGCCGACCCTCTCAAAAAAAAAATTTGTAGGTGATATCACTTTCTCTTATCTTTGGACCCCCTTGGTTACTAAGACAGCCGTATCCCGATCCGTCCGGTATATCTCTCCGACATGCCGCATACGGCGACGCTTACGGTACGGCTCGTTCAGATCGCTGGATGGAGTGCGCCGGGGTTGAAATGCGGGCTAGCCACAGGTAAATGCAAATTGTTTGAATCTACTTACACCTCATTCGGCACAGGATCGACAGCCGCAGAGGCTTGATAGTACGGCATCTGGAGCCGCTGGTCGAGCTCCTAAAATGACACGGCGCGTGCATACAGGCCGTAACCGCGTACTTATTCCAGAGCTTTCCGGTGACGTTCGTGATTTCCGTCCTCTGAACTTCACACCAGCCTTGGTTGCACAATGCTGCGCCGGTTATAGATTCCGTTTCAAGAATTCCTCTCCAGCACTCAGATATCTTTCAGACGACGACGCGATCCATCGCACCGAAGGAGAAATAGCCGCCACGGCGCCAAGATCCAGATGATACACTGGTTGAGGCGGAAGCTTGCAGAACTCGAGGGGTTCGTCAAAAATCACCAAGGGACGATGCGGCGATGCCGGCCAGGCGACATCTCCCTAGCGACAGCCCATGCGACATATTGGGGCACTGTATGTCAGTGTCTCTCTAGCAATCCATCACTTAATGGCGCACATACTGAGGGAAAATGTACAAAGACCCCTAAGCGAGCGACAGAGCAAAACGGCTCGACCGGGATCGGCCGAAGATTTTCTCACGGTTCAAATTTGCATTCCCCGTCGAATTTTGCCTAACTAGCCCAGCCGCGGAGGAGTAATAGTACGTATTGTGGCACAGAAAGTTTACGACTGAAGTTAAAATGCATTTTATGCTCACACTAGTCTGCCTCGTGCCCGTTTTCTGAGCCGTCAAGTTTAATTCGAACAGAGCCTCCAATTATCTCAGAATCTAAACTAACCGCACCAGAAGTTGGCCAGGGGGTCAGTCATTAAGTAAAGGAGCACTCAGTAGCCCAAGCCGTGTACCTATCTAGTACAACGGCTTTGCGGAGGGTCCCGTTTGATTCGGGGCTGAGACTAAGATGCCGTCGGCCTTTTTTCTTGAGGTCTCATGCAAGGATTATTGCACGGAAAAAAAGACTCACATACTTGTATCCTCTGGCTCTCTGGAGTCTCTCATTTGAGTTCTTTGCTCTTGCCCAATTGATTATTCGAACACGAGACCAAACCTGCAAGGCTGTCACTGTTGGCTGGCGCCGGGGTTGAGTTCAGCTACCTGGTTAATGGATTGATTTCAGTAAGTAATGAACACCTGATAGTACATGTTGTGCACCTGCACCCACTTATGCAAAATGCTCCAAGCAGTCTTGACAGGAGGCCTCCGTTCGAATCGGGGTCGGGTATGGGAGAAAGTGTCACGGTCGTCACATCTTTTTTTTTTGGGCTAGCACTTTTGTGTTGCGTTCCTTTCTGTTTAATTCCGCATTCCTTCCTTATTATATGACTAATAGCTAGTTCCGGACACACATCGTGACGAGACGAGACGAAATAACGACTTGAGTCTGGTTGAGTCACCACATTGCTATCAATTTCTTTCGCGGAACGATGAAATTCAACCCATATGTGGCCGGACAGAGGACGCCTACTAGCACAAGGTGTGCCCCTATACTGCTTAAAAGAACATCGAGGTCGTTCACAGGAGGTCCCCGTTCGATTCGGGGTCGGGTGGTTGCTGAATACCGTAGATTAATTTTTTAAACGAGGCAAGCGTTGCTTCTTTGCTGACTCGGGTTCTTTTGATTTTAAGTTTTCCTTCATTATTTGCAGTGTTAACACCTTCCTGATATACACGGACGTCAGCGGCGAGACGAGACTAGACGAAACAGGGCCTGAGTCTGGTTGACTTGAACAATCCTAATGTGAGTTCAATTTTGAGTGGACTCTGCAAATCTATATTCAACGAAGGAACTTAAAAGACACCCGATAGCACATGGTGTGCACCTGTACCACTTTAGCAGAACACCTTTGATCTTTGTTCACAGGAGGCCCCGTTCGATTCGGGGTAGGGTGATAACATCATTCAAGCCGCTTTTTACTTTTCAACGATTAGCATTACTCCTTCAATGCCGCCTCAAAATCGTTTTGCTTTTCTTTTCCTTTGTTTTGTATAGTTTCAGCGAGTTCTGGCCGACGAGAGGGGTTTGTGGCCAGTGAGACGAGTCGAAACGAGACAAAGCAAAGGGTCCAAGTAAGTCTGGTTGAATCTGATGTGCATTGAATTTCGACTGGATATGTCTATAAGGCTCAACGAAGGAACTTAAAAGACACCTGATAGCACACGGTGTGCACCTGTACTACTTAAACAGAAACCGTTTGACCTTCGTTCACAGGAGGCCCCGTTCGATTCGGGCTCGGGTGACTACACCAACACGAGCTGCTTTTTACTTTTTCAACGATTAGCGTTGCTCCTTCAATGCTGCCTCAAAATCGTTTTGCTTTTCTTTTCCTTCGTTCCGTATAGTTTTAGCGAGTCCTGGCCGATGAGATCGCTTCGTGGTTTGGTAAAATGAGACAAAGAAAAGAGTCCAAGTAAGTCTAGTTGAATTTGATGTACATTAAATTTCGGCTGGATACATCCTATAAAGCTCAACGAAGGAACTTAAAAGACACCTGATAGCACATGGTGTGCACCTGTACCCTGTACCACTTACGCAAAAACCATCCTACCTTGGTTCACAGGAGACCCCGTTCGATTCGGGGTCGGGTGATGACACCATTGAAGCTTCTTTTTACTTTTTCAACGATTAGCGTTGCTCCTTCGATGCTGCCCCAAAATCGTTTTTATTTTTATTTTCCTTCGCTCCTTACAGTTTTAGCGATTTTTGGCCGCTGAGATGGATTCGTGGTTTGGTGAAACGAGACAAAGCAAAGGACCCAAGTAAGTCTGGTTGGATCTATTGTAAATTGAATTTCGACTGTAGCTGGATACATCCTATAAGGCTCTACAGTGGAAAGTAAAGAACACCCAATAGCACATGGTGTGCATCTGTCGGACTTATAAGAACTGAAGCGAAGTTAACAGGAGGCCCCCGTTCGATTCGGGGTTGGGTGATCCGTTTGTTAAATCCAGCCTTTTTGTTAGACGAGCATTCCTCCGGATCCGTTTCCTCGTGTTCTTTTTATTTTTCCTTCCTTCCTTATTACGATTTCAGTAGAGATGCACATGCGTCCCCGTCCCGGCGACAACGGCCCGAGTCTGCTTGAACTCACCTATGCGCGTACGACAGATTTGTGTGATATCTGCCACAAGAGAGGTAAGCAGAAGACACCCGCTAGCACATGGTGTGCACCTGTCAGACTTTGCAAAGGATCGCGTCTACAGTTTACGGGAGGCCCCCGTTCGATCCGGGGTCGGGTGATTGGAGTCGGAACTGCAATGTCTTTTTCCTTTCTCTCTTTCTTTCTTCTTTTTTTTAGAGGGGGAGGGGACTACCTTCACGCGCTCTCAACTTGAACTTGAACTAAATCGATGGCCGCCCCGGCGTTACGAGACGCCCAAAACCAAAGCGCAGTCGACTGAATATAAACCCGTGAATTCCGTATGCTACGATAAGCATATTTTGCGAAATGAAATGCTCAAGTAAGTAGACACTTGGTAGCCTGCGCGTTCTCGGGCGGCGCACCGCTGACATGTACAACGGGCAGGATTCAGAGGAGGAACCCCGTTCGATCCGGGGCTGGGTGCTGTGATACGCATCACGATTCCAAATTTTTCTTTGGTGCGGGAAGCTTTTAACGAGTTCTCAAATCTTCGCAAGGCAAGGTTCGTTCGAGGTCTTCTGTTCGTCGTTGGTCGCGTTAAGAAGGTTTGACGGTTTTGCAAAGGGAGGAATTGAGTGGATGGATAGATGTTGGTATGTTGCAGAAACGAATGATAGACGTGCATTTAATGCATCTAATGGTGCGAGAGGGTGCTCCGGAAGGAAGGAAGTACGGTTGGATTTAGACGCGGAGAAGGCGATATGAGGACTCGGGGAGTAGATGTATTTATCAAGTAAATTCGATTTGTGATGACGACGGTTAAGCATCGCCGGGAACGGAGTCATAATGCGAGGTAGGACGTAGATGAGCCAATCTTTAGGAAAATGGACAAGACAGCGCAGAGTGTTGTCAGGCAAGCGATTGCGGTGGTAGAGTATCCTGGCAGATGCCGCTCCAGCGTTGACTTGGAGTAGCACTGGCTGGCGCCGCGGGAGATTCCAGTAATTAGTGCTATCGTTCTCGCGCAATATAAGGCCGGTTCCAATACAGGGAATATGGTAGTCAATCAAGGTTTCACTTAGTGGCGCTCGAGCCTCGGAGAGTCGATGACAGCACTAATGCACTCTTGGTCGGACGAGCGAGCAGCGAGCAGGGAGCGAGGGTGTTAACGCTGCAGACTGGCAGATGGTGCTATGGCGATGACCGTCGAGTCCGAGCGTCCAAGCTTTGAATTGCAGATGGAGGGAGGAGGAAGACAAGAGGACCGGCGACCAATCTAAATCCCGGACAAAATCTGACCTTTCTCGACAACTCGGACTTTGAATGGATTCTGGACATATTGCGCGATGGCTATCGAGTAGCCTGAAGACGGGGACGCGATTAGGACGAAAGCAGGAAAATGGCTAGACGAGTGGATAATAAAGCGAGAAGACACGTTGTTACCTCGCGCAAACCGAGCAACTGCTGCGTTTCAAGCAAGCCTTCCAAGAAGCCTCCGATTAAGCTTATAATCGAAACTTGCCAGCCACTTGCCTCGCCTCATCTTGCCTCCTGCGCTCATCATGTCCTTGCGGGTCCACCGCAAGCCACCGCCCATCTTCGCCGATGCCGACACCGACGACGAGCGTGCCTCAACGCCGGTCGCGATGAAGCGGCAGTCGTTCACGCTGTACGCCGACGCGCCCTTGTCGTCTCAGCTTCACCAAGCGCAACACCAATTTCAACTACCCTCCACCTCGCCGCAGCCGCATTACACGCGTCGAAGGACGCAGTCAAATAATCTTAATGTTAATTCTAATCCTGCTTCGACGACACCAGGCACACCAACGCGCACCCGCCTCGCCCGTCTTCTCCTTCACGCCCCTGCGTCCCCCACCCGCGTCCGCAAGCATACAATCAGCTCGCCTGCCCCCACAGAGGTCCCCGAAGGGATGGTCCCGCCGGTAAGTTTTCGTCACTCTAACTCGCTGTGGCGATCGATTCCTTTTACCAAGAGTAAAAGGGCCAAGAAGTTCACTGGGTTTTACCAGTTCTTTTACTCAGGGAAAAGGTGGCGGCAAAATTTCGTCGCTTATTTCCCTTGTAAAAGGATGCTTCTTTGTCCGGGTAAAAGGGTGTAGCCTTTTACCGGGACAAAGAGCGGTGATTTTACAATGGAAAAAATTGGTCGCGATCTTGCCGCCGTTTTTCTTCCAGTAAAATCGAGCCTGAGGACCTATTTTTTACGGCCCTTTTGGTGAAATGAGGGATCACCGCAGCGACTGCTAAAATCTGCCGCTGATAATGATCCACGCAGGCCCTCGCCGCCCTCGCACGTACCCATGCCCGCCCCTCCTCAATCGCGCTCCCCCAGCTACTCCCATTGCAGCTGCCCGTCATCTCGCCCACCGCGTCCGACTCCGGCACCAGCGCCTCGGCGTCGAGCGGGGAGACGGACGCGACGAGCCCGCCGCATTCACCCATGTCGCCGCGTAAGCCGTGCGCCTATCCCTCGCCGCTGTCTCCTGTTGCCGCCTCCCCGCCTGAGCCCGCCCGTCCTTCGCTCACGGACGCGTCGCCGCGAAAGTCTTCGCCCGCTCCCACCCTTGCTTCCCCGCGCGTACTCATCGCGCCCTCTTCCCCGCGCAAGCCCACGCGCACTCCCCCCGCCGCGCCCGCGCCCCCTGCCGCCTCTCCTACGAAACTCAAACCACCCGCCTCCTCCTCTTCCTCCAAACCCAAAACCACAGCCAAACCACCCCCCCTCGCGCCCCTGCTCCCACCCACCCCCGCCGCCCTCGCGCGCGCCGCCGCGCTCCCCCTCGTCGCGCCGAGCGGGGTGCGGGTGCCGTTTGGCGTTCTGTTGGGGCTTGGCGCGGGCGCGGACTCTTCTTCCGTGTTGACGAAGGAGGGGAGCGTGGAGAAGGTGGGTGCAGGTGCAGGGGAGACGGCGCGCGCGAAAACAAAGACACGCACGCGCCGCACGCTCGTCGTCTTCCTGCGCCACTTTTGGTGCCCCCTTTGTCAAGATTATATGGTCGCGCTCGCGAGTGGGGTGAGGGGGTTGCAAGGGGAGAACAGTGGTTCTGCGCCCCCCGAAGGAGGAGACGTTTCCAATCCTATGCCGACATCGAATTTTACGCCCAGCGCCACATCAACTACCTTTATTGCGTCGTCCTCCGGCACGACTCCTACTCCCCCTCCTTCTACTACTTGCGCGCCGACTCCCACTATCACTTCTGCGAACAGCTACAACCATCATCCCTCCTCTCGTCGACCTCTTTCCACCACTTTGACTCCTCCCGCCGTTTCTTCACCCGCCGAATCCGAACGCGAACACCTCGACGAGGAAGGCGCACGCTGCCCCGCCTGCACCTCGGCCGGCAGCGTTACGCTCGCGTATCTCGAGGGGTTGGCGGACGGGCGCGAGGGTAGCGAGTCCCTGCGCAGCGGTGATACGCACCGCGCTGACGAGGACGTGGGCGGGTGTGGGTGTGTGGAGGAAGGAGAGGGAGAGGGAGAGGAAGGAGGCAGCGGGGCGTGGGCGGCGCGGGTGTGCACGGGGTTTGATGGGGAGGTGGGTGTTTTTCTTTGTTCCCTTTCTCCCTTTCTTCTCTCTTCCCGCGTCCTTTCGTCCTTCGAAAACTCGCTGACGACGTTTGTCTATGTGTAGACGCACGCCGGCTCCTCACCCCTGCGCGCCGACTTCTCGCCCGAAGACCACGCCGAACTCGGGGAAGAAACAGAAGAGGAAGCAGAAACGGAAACGCACCTCCTCCTCGTCGCCCCCGGCGCGCACACGCTCATCGCGCGGTACCTCGCGTCGTTTGGGTTTCCGGCGGCGTTGGTAGGGGAGGCGGGCGACTTGAAGGAGAAGGGCGGTTGTGCGTGTGAAGCAGGAGGGGAAGGAGAAGGAGGATATGATCTGGGGGATCCGTACCCTTCCCCGCATTCGCCGGCGCCGGCGGCACATGCGCGCGCAGACGAAGACGAAGGAGGACATCCGCACGCACGGCGTGAGCACCGGAAGCAGATGCAGAAGCGCACCCCGGCTCGACGCGGCGCCGGCGTCCTCGCGAGCGTGCGTATGTACGTCGACCCGCGCCCCGCGGAGGGGGTGTATGCTGCGCTGGGGATGGGGTGGGTTGGTGCTGGTGCTGCTGGTGGGGAGGAGGAGGAGAAGGAGGCCGCGGTGGATTTTGCCAACGTACGAGGGCGAGCACAGGCACAAGACGTGTACTTCTCGTTCCCGTTCCCCGGAGAGGCCGGCGCTTCCGCGACACCCCACTTCGGCGGCGAGGGCACGACCAACTCCCTGCACGACTCTCTGACGCCGCCGACCAAGACAAAGACCAGCACCCCACCCCCCGACCCACACGCCGACCCCGCATACGTAACGCACGGGCCGCTCGCGGGCGTGGGCGCGGTGGTGCTGCGTGCCCTGCGTTCGGGGATGCCCGTCTGGGCGCGCGGGGGGGATATCGGGCTGTTGGGCGGCGAGTGGGTGTTTGAGGTTACGTGAGTTGCGTTTTCTTCCGTTTCTCTCTCCCACTAAATCCCCCCCGCAGTGTTGGAGCCGAGGCCGCCCCGTCCTTGCGCTGCACGTACGCGCACCGCATGCAGAATGCGAGAGGACACGCGGGGGTTGATCGTGTGTTTGCGGCTGCGGGGTTGCGCGTGCGCGTGCAAGGACGTGAGCCCGAGGAGAGTGATATTGCGCGTCCGAAGAGCGCGATCACGCCGAGGGGCACGCTGAAGAAGAAGGACTCGAGGGGAATCGCGCGCTCGGCGTCCGTGGACGTGCTCGGGATGAACGCGTCGGCTCCTCCGAGTGTCGCGCACACGCGTGTACCCGACGCTGCCTCTGTCCCG